CCGCAACCTTGTTTGGGGAGAAGGTCATGACTCGTTATGACATCTTCCTCTCTTGTGCCAGCACCGTGAATCCTGCAATGTTTGCCAAAAGTTGCTTTGATGCCACCCCCCGACCCGCACCCGGCACCCCCCACGCTCTTCACCACCTCTGCATTCTTCCCACCATTCTATGGATTCTATGCGATCACCAGGTCACCACGCCACATGCTCAAGCGACGTCTCATGTTAGATCGTCCCGCCTGGAGCTGCAACTGCCCCGTCGCTGGCGATGGAGCCCGGTGTCTGGTGGAGCCTGCGGTCAGGAACTCTATGGAACTCTCTGGAACTCTATGGAACTCTATGGAACTCTCTGGAACTCTCTGGAACTCTATGGAACTCTATGGAACTCTCTGGAACTCTATGGAACTCTCTGGAACTCTATGGAACTCTATGGAACTCTACGGAACTCTCAACTCTGCAGCATGCATTCTAAACACCTGTCAGCGAAGATATGGACGCTGAGCCCCAAACTTGAAGCCTTCACCAACTTCACTTTTATTTGAACAAAACGCAACTGTTTTGCAACGCGCTCATTGACTGTGGCACCCGGTAGCTCGCGCCTTTGGCCAGGGGTGGCAGCAGCATATGCTCCTGAGGTCAACTGCTTTACTGTTCTTTGCTGTGCTACGAGTTTTGGTTACTTTGTGGCGATGTGTTGCTGCTGGCGCGACATGCCTTCTGCTGTACCCTCTGCAGCACTGGGCTGCTAAAGCAAAGCAGATCTGCAAGAAGTCAAGCAACGAGTACAACTCCAAGACTAGAATCTGGCGGCCGCACATGCGAAAAGCAAATCTGCTGACTCGACGGTATCAAAACCCCAGTCGCTGAAAGCATCCACTTCTTGCCCGAGCGGCCATTGCAGGTGCCCATGAATGCCGATGGCCATTCGAAGTGCCTTGGGGAGATGTTCGAGATGGAAAGAGATGAAGAGAAGTGGGTGGCAAAGGGCTCGGGCCTAGGCCCAGGTCATCCTCTAGAGTCTAGAGATGTCTAAAGTGTCCAGAGTCCTCAAAGGAAGAGAGACAGAGCTCCGGATGCACCAGGGGCCCCGCCGGTTTTCTTGGAGCTGGCACCTCAGAAGATCCCGAGATTAAGATGTTGAATCTTAGGCCTTATGAGGCCCTTCAGAGCCTTCAGGGTCCATGCTTCATCTGAATCATGCTGGCCACGACCCCTGAACTTCCTGGCGTTGTCAGACACATGTAACGCATCTCATCAGTTGGGGGGTGGAAAAGCATGACAGTGGCCATGCCAAATGACGCACGTCAGGACGAAATAACTATTCCTTCCCAATCCTCGAAACTGCATGGACACTTGAGTTCAGGCAGAAATACCTGTGTATGCAACAATACATATCAACACTTCATGTATGGCAGACGCTGCATTGCAAAGTTCTTGCCGTCGGAAGATTAGCCCTACGTCCTCCAACCCCCTCTAGACTCCAACCCCGAAAAGAACCTGGGCCTGAATGCCTTCAGGGCAAAAGGCAAATTTTGATGCCTGAAAATTGTGGGTTTGGGGCGGTCAGGCCCAGGCCGAAAGCAACTTTTAACTCCTAACTATGCCTGGAAACAGTTTCAGACCCAAGAGGAATCCATGCAGAAGGCTTTGTGAGGAAGGCCCGTAAAATACCCAACAGTTTTTGTCTGCCACCGGGCAGCGCGACAGCGCAAGAGAGGCTCCTGCAACTGCAGGCTGGAGGAGACTTGAGGAGACTGGAGGAAACTTGAGGAGACTTGTGGGCTTCATTTGGGCCGTGAGCCCCACACTTGTCTTGGAACCCTTACTTTGAGAGGGCGAGGGAGGGACTGTAATTAATAATGTCCACCTGACTTTCAGCCTCGCAAAACCCCCCCAAAACTCACAAGTTTCAGCTGTGGCCTGGCTTCTCGAACTGCTGGGCAGTGAGTCTGGCAGCTGCAACCTCTGCTTCAGGAAGATCAACACTTTGGGTTTGGGCCGGTTTGGGTATCTGAGGCTTAGCAGCTACACGCAGCAAACCCCCGCAGCTACAAAGTGAGAATACATTTCAGGCCTTCGGACGAGTAGTTGTTGGCGAGTAGATAAGCTGCTTTTTTCGGGCACCCCCCGCACACAGTAGGCTGCATTTAGCAAAAGCTGTGTCCGGCAGGACCTGAGCACGTGGAGAAGGAAATTTTCCAAGCTGGTGGAGAAAGACAAGGCATGTCTGATCATGTCTGGACCTTCGAAAGTGTGCTCGAAGCATCGAGTAGTGTTCATATTCACCCGCGAGTCGGCTTCAACACGTTCCCAAAACACATCCCCGAACCACACCACTGCCGCCCGCAAAAGAGGCGCTCCCTTGTTTTGATCCCTCCCCTCCCCCGCACCCCCTCCCCTCCCCTCCACCAAAAAAACCAAAACAGGCACACAACTGACTTCGCAACTCCGAGGCACATCCTGGCGCAGCTTCGACGGCGGCACGCTGCTGGACCGGTTCATCGGGGCATCGCGGGGGGGGTCTCGTCTCTTGAGCGGACCCCGTGCGACTAATCTGAAGGGGCCGCCAGGACTCCGCCAGGGAGTCTAGGGCATGAGGTGGGGCGTTTTGGGGCGCTTGGGGGTCTTGAGGAGTCTTGAGGCTGTGGATCGCAGCGTTCCCAAGATAGTAAGGCGCAAGGTTAGGGCTCTTGAGGTTTTCTGTTTTGGTTGCAGGGTTTCTGGACACACTCATGGACAACTTCAAAAGCTCGAGCCACCCGGGCAAAGCGGCAGAAGGACAGGCTACAAGCACAGAAGTTGCCCGATTTCTTCCCATCAAGTACTCAGTCCACAAGCACGCCCAATTGGACTCAAAACAGGCTCTTGGCTGTGCTTGGCAGAGGAGCCCTGAGCGTACTCCGCACAAACCGCACCACCCTCAAATACACTCTCAAGTTTGCCCTTAGCAAAGCATAATAATAGTCAAGTCCACAAGTCCTGGACCGAATGGACGTTAAAACAGAAAGTGTTGGCTGGACTCTGGAGGATGGCGCCATCGAAATCCTCGGCGACCCCCCGCGGCACGGGATAGCCATCGTGGAGAGGCACCTTGCATTCGAACAGAGCGGAAGGGCTTCTCATGAGGGTCCGCAAGATCCGTCCAAAGAGAACACTGACCCGGAGGGTCAAGAGAAAATCATCGCTGAAGCCTTGAGATGACATTCCGGAGGGGCAGGAACCCTTTGAACCTTAACGGGCCCGGCCATTTAGTTAGCTCTCAGCAGCAAAAGCCCCCATGAGTCCACCCTTTTGTGGCACCAGATTGCAAACCTAAACAGGACCCATAAATGAAACCGTCAGCGCCACAGAACCGGGTGACCGGCGAGTCGGAACTCAAAATTGCAAAGACGCGTGAAAACGAACGCGGCAGTCGGAGAAACCGCACCAGGAGCCCCGTCCGAGGTACAATGTAACTGTTCTCCCATGCCTTCGATATCCCATACTCTGGGACCATCATGCCCTTTCGGTCTCGAAGCCCCACTGGGAACCAGGCCTCTTCGTCAGGTCCAGTCCTCTGGAGCTTCAGAGTTTAGGCTTCTGGGCTTCAGTGTCTAGAGAGAAGATTAATGAAGAGTGCGGGTGCTAAGTAGGGTATGGTAGGGGTTAAAGAAAGGCAGCGCGGCACAGCTACGCCACGCTTGAGTTTGGCCCTAACCCTTAAACTCCTGGATCCAAAGCTCCCAAAGTAAAAAGCGCACGGCGTAAAGGGGCATTCCTCCCTGGCCCAGCTCCCTATCCTGCTCCCTATCCTTGCGGGCCTGGATTGGCAAATTGGCATGGGCCCCACGTCACCAGAGGCACTGGAGGGCCTGATTGCGAAAGCGTTTTACTGTTGGAGCACTTAGAAGCTTCTTGGTTTTACAAGTCTTTAAACACCTTCCGCTTAGGAGTGGCAGGGTCTTGATTCTGCTGAGGTTTCTTTGTGTCTGGGCCCCGGGCTTCAGCTTTAACTCTACTGTTCGGACTGTTCGGAGTGAAACAGGCAAATCTAAAGGCATTACAAGCACCGCGCATACTGCACACTGTCAAGGGACACATCCCCCAACAGCTCCCAGATGCAGGGCTCAAAAGCGAGTCCAGCCATTAGTGCTCAAAGGGCCGGGCTGGGAAGACCGGGCCGAGATGTTCAAACCTCAGTCGCCGAAGCTGGGCATGCAAGGCAATGAACCTCGCGGTATCCACAGGAAGCTGCAGAACCCCAAAAGCATCCAAAAAGCCGTCGAATACCCAACCCTCAGGCCACCAGGCCACTAGGCCACTCCAACAAGCACAGCAACGTCGTGCGAAGGTCGGCCGAAAGAATCAAGCAATAAAACCGTGGAGCATTTCCCGCCCGATATCTCCCTGATCTCTTCTGCCTTCTTCTGACTTCTGGGTCCATTTACATGCCGGGCGGCGGCTCGGTGATGGCGGCTCAGCCGGCCCTCAGAAGCGCAGTGCCCCTCTCAGCCCTCTCAGCCTAGCCCAAGTTCCCATCAGCAGGCAAGGCCCGGTAAAGCCCGAAATCTTGGGACCTTGACGGCTTGACCCAAACATGCGAAACTTCAGTCACCATCCAAAAACTCGCGAACTTCCCTCATGGACCGAGCTGGCTCTGGTACGGCTTCTGGTAAACCCTCGAAGAGTCGTTAGTTACCGTTAGTTTACGAGCTACTTGTGTCGGCACTTGCCCGGGAGAGGACTGTGACACCCTACGTCCCTACGTTCTAGGACTGACCCTCAGACCTTGTACGCGCAGCCCCAGGTGCTTCAGAGTCTTTTGGAGCTCCAAGTCAGATACGGCTTTGCTTGAATGATCCAATTACATGATGCAAGGAAAAGAAGGGTTGCTCCCCACTAGGAAACCCTTGACCAGAAGTCTGCATCGACTCGGATTCTGGGCTTCTGGCAAAGCCCACAGGCGAAGCTCATGCCTGACTCCTCCTGCAAATCTGCAAAGACAGTTCAGCTATCTAAGGCTAGCATCGTTGAAGGCACAGCGCGGACTCCCGGAGGCCCAGAGCCCACAAACTTGCGGGGTCCTGGTCGTCGGAGTCCACGATACCTCAGCCCCACATGCCCTCGACCCTTAGACTCAGAGTCTGAGAGGTTGCTTGGATCTACAAAGTTGGCCAGGGCCTTTTAGGGCCTCTTCGCTCGGAGCTTTTCTTACCACGATGCCGCGCATTGCACTTGTGCATTGCGCAAAGTGCACCTCAAACCCGCCCTCGGCCCTAAGTCATGGACCACCACTGCCGCCCCCCGTGATGCGTGCGGCCCAAACAGGGCCATGGTCACCGCCCACGTCGCCGACCAAAGTCTCCTTGGTCCGGGGATGTCTTAAGGGCTTGGGGAGCCATAGTCCAGCGGCAGCAAGGCTCTGTCAGGACTCCTGGCATGCTTCAAGAATGCTTCATCGTCTCAGGCAAAACAGCTCCGCTGGAAGCACGAGGCCCGCTCCGCTGCTGCGCGGGGCTCGCTCTGCGTGGGCCCTTGCATGGACCTTTCAACGCGCACTTTGCAAGACACTTCGTGGGCTGGTCAGCCTCTCTCGAACTGCGTACTTGGGTAAACCCACGAGCAGGCACAAGGAAGGTCAGTTCTGAGAGATGCGGTGTTGGGTTGTGAAGTTGGAGAGAGAAGTCTCGAGCCTTGTGGTTCTTTTTGAGCCCTCAAACCACAGACCCTTGACTTCACGATGAGATTTTGTTTGGGCCCCCTACAATTTCTTTGGATCCCTCACCCGTGCTTCACTGATATTGCTTCAACACAGGACAAAGGTGCTACTGAATTTGCTTGTGGGTGAGGCCTTGACTTGCTTCAGTACCTAACAACTTGGGTGCTCTGGTGGTCGCTACCTGCCCGTGCTGGCTTCGGAGACGTGGTGATATTCTCTTCAAGTTGGTTGATCGCTATTATTTCTTTAAACCCCGTATGCCTGAATCAATTCCCCCAACGCAAAGCCCTCGGTTGTTTGTATTAAACGGAGTCAAACGCTTGTGTGGGCCGAGGGCTTAAACTCCAAAGCCTTTTGGAGGGGGGGCTTGTGCCACCGAGGGGCCCAGTACCAGGGGCGCTATGTGGCTCACCCATGTGCTCGCGGTCCTGTAAGCGTGCATGGTCTTACAGCCTGCTTGTGGCAGTTGTTTGGCAAGTGCATTGCCCCTGAGCCTGCAAGGACTGCCTCATCATGCAGGAGCTGACTTGATAGAGCTGTGAAAGCAGGCTTGGTGCTGACGCAAGACCCCTTAAACTTTGAGATCGGCCCATCCAAAACCCTCCCGACCCCCCGAAGCCCAGTAAACTCGGGGAGGTCCGGAGCCCCGCCAGAACCAGCTGCAGCCTGCTCGCGCAAATCACGAGACAAGATCGTACATGAAACCATGAAACCCTTTCTGTTGAAGATAGCGTCATGTGATCCACTCCTAGCTTCGAGCTCTACGTGCTTGAACAACATGACAACTTCTTTGAAGAGGATGTCTAGTCTTGGCCCGTCCACTCCTGAGTCTTATTCAAAGGACGGAACCTTCTGTCTGCAAACAAAGCGGATGTCTCTGTGATACATCTCTGTCACCAATCCGAAAACCCCTCCCTTAACTTCTAATCCCGATGCCTCAGCTTCTAAGCCCTCAACTTCCGCTCTTCCCATGCCCAGCCGACCCAACCTCAAAGGCACCGCTGCCGCCACTGCCGCCACAGGCGCTCTGAGACCATGCGGCCGCCTCCGCCGGGGCCTCAGGGCTTCAGAGGGCTCTCGAATTGGTTTTGTCCTGGCCTTAGATTCCAAGGCCAAGGCCTCGAACGCGCCACTGCCGCCGCTGCCGCCGCAGGCACTGCGGGACCACGCCCCGCCAACCTGCCATGAGCTTGGCAGGGTGCAAGCTGAACTGTACTCAAATAAACGAAGGGGAGGGCAACCCCTGAAATCTGAAGGCAGGAACGGATGAAACAAGCATTGGTGACAAACGTGGCTGCAACCGCTTCACCCCCACAAAGACACCAGACAAGCCAAGCGCCTCGGCTGCCTGAGGCGGCGCAGCCTGTCAGCAGTCTCTGCCGAGTCGAAGTGAATGCACTGAATGCACTGGGTGCACAGATTGACACACAGGCCAATTAGGCTGGAGTCCGATGCCGCTCAGCAGAAACCAAGGGGGGGTTGCATACATGGCGACAGAAGCTACAGGACGACTTCGTGGGCAGCAGAACACCGCGTGGGCCAACGAAAACCGGAGGCACAGTCATTGGGCGCATGGCCACCTCGGACGTTGCTTCTGCCTCTTGCCCGCCGGCAGCACCACCCACGTCACCGCGGAGGCCCGTCAGGGAAACCTCGACGATATCATCCTGATTCAAGCACAAAGCAGTAAAGCAAGCATATGAAAACAACATGAACGCAACAGAGGATGAGACTCAATAAATCAAGTTGCACAAGCAACCGTTAGCAGCCGTTAGCAGAGACTAGGAAAGAGTTCTCTTCAGACACATGGAAGCCCAACTCGATACCCACGGCCGTTGACGACGAGGTCCTCATTGGCAGCGACGCTGTCGTCCCCGCCGATGTCGTCGTCTCCGCCGATATCACCGCGTGTGGCATTCCTCCAAGCTTCCAGGGCTTTCGAAGTTCTTTGGGTCACTTTAGGAGAGCTTGGGCCTGGAGACAATTTTGCAGCTGCCAGGGACCCTTGGGGTCTCAAGGCTTCCCCGAAAGCCCTGCGCGGGAGGCCCCATCCTCGAGGCATGGCTCAGCTCGCTCCCGGTGGACACCACCTTGCAGGGAAATCGGAGACAGGGACCTCTTACACACTTGAAACTTCTTAGGGTTAAGAGAGCTTAGGGCTTCATACCCAGGAGTACTTCCCAGCAGGGCTAGGAGATCCAAGTCCGAACTCTCAGAATGCGCGCTGCGATCATAACCGTAGACGCTATACAAGAACCCCATGTCGAAGTCAAAGAAAACCAAATCCCTGCAAGTCCCGGGAAACATCCTGTAACATCCTTTAAGCCCTCAACAGGGTCTGCGCTAAGCCCCCGAGCCTGCGCCGGGTTCTCGCCAGGGGCGCCACCCACGTCGCCGAACTCAGCGTCTCCCACGGGAAAAGTGGCCTCGAAGCCTCCGGAACAGAGATCTTAAATGGACACCACAAGTAGGTGCTGTGGGATGCTGTGGGGCTTCGTCTAGGCTCCATGTTTTGGGCGTGGAGTATGGACAGTATGGAGTATGGACCAGTATGGAGGCCGGATGAGGGTGGCAGGTGAGACGTGACCCCAAGCGCGATGAAGAATCGCCCAAGGCGGCAAAGGGTTCAGGTCCATGGGGGCATTTGGGTGATTCAAGCATCCAACAGCCCCCAGGACGTTAAGTTCTTCCCCTTAAATGGACCAAACGCCAAAGCCAGGCTGCCAAACATCCGACTGAGGAGAGTTTTTTGGAGGAATTCAACCCCGAGCCGTCCGGTCCAAAACCATCCCCCGAACCACTCCCAAAGCCATCTCAAATCCCTCGCCAGTTCAGTTTACTCACCCTCGGCCCGAAGCTTTTCCTGACCCATTGGCGCCCTCCATCTGGCACCCTCCAATGGCGCCTGCATCTCCCAGGGCTCCGACGTCCCCGGGGTCCCCGCTGCCCCCGGACTCGGTAGCAGGCTCCTGCAGTAGCACGAAAGCACTCGTTTCAACTCAGCGGAACTCTGGACTCCGCGTGACTCAATCGCGACTGTCACGCCCAAGACTCAAGCAACGCAGGTCACGGTGCTCCTTCGACCTGTCTTGTCGGAAATCCTGTTCTGACTTAAGAGATGTTTCCCGTTTCCCATATGCTCCCTGCAGTGCTCCTTGCAAAGTGAAGGCCGCAAACCCTAGCCCTGAACTCCTAAACTTCGAGAACCCCAAGGACCACGAGCCGGGCACCGTCGTTGGCTGCGCATGGCCGCTTCCACCCGACTCCCCAACCTGCAACGGTTGCATAGAATTGTTTGGGCTTCGCTATCGGTACTTACAGGATTGGGAGGTGGGGTTAGGGACGCTTGGGTCATGCAAGCTTTGTAGAGGATGCGGGATGGGCCGTAGGATGTCGGTCTCAACGGTTTGGAGCCGCCTAAGTGAACTCAGCACTCAGCACGGATTGCAAATCGCACCCTCGCGCCGCAACCCTCCAACCCTCATTGTGCGTCACACGATGTCAACGGCACCAAGCCGTGTATGGCAGTTCTGCGCGGCACCTCCGCTCTACGAGAAAGCAAAGAAGGCCACATAAGGCCTTAACCTGGGTCAAGCATAAGCACATATGCACCCTGTATTGGGCCTCCAGGGTCTCGTTGTCCGACATTTCGCAGGGGGGACAACTCAGTGACTACTTGGGGTTAGCCTGTGGTGATTTGTGTCACTTCGCTGCGCAGGGAACCAGCAGCAGCCGTGCTTTCGTGGAGTTCTTCTTTTGTGGACTGTTGCTGTTGCTGAAGGACTGCCAGGGCTCTTTGCAGAGTGGGGCTGAGTAGGTGTGAGTGGTGTGAAGGTTGTGGTTGTGCTGGAGCAAGTTGTTCCTGGAGAGCCGGGAGCGGCAACATGCTATGAAGAAACGTGGACTCTGGAGTCCTTGAGTCCTTTCCGGGAGGTGCATCACAGGTGCTGCATTCCCCAACGACCTAGACTCAGGTACTGATGTGTAGGCGGTATTGAGCAACTGAGTGGCTTCGCACTCCCGCAAGCCAACACAACGAAAGAGCGGCGGCTGAAACTCCTAAATTCCATTAAATTCCTCAAGATCCCAAGCAAAGCCCGAAAAAGGCCCCACGAGCCCCATGAGCAAGTTGTGGGAGGTCACCCATGCCCGCTCACTCGCACTGAGCTTGCGTGGCACAGGCGTAGGAGTGTCGCCCTGCACAGCAAACCTGCGCGCAGTCACCGAGAGAGAGGGAATGGAGGAAGTCTGCGCTCATTGGCCTAGAGGGCCTAGATCATTCTACACTAGTTCAACACCCTAACACCCCCCCCCCCCCTTGGCCGAAATCTAGGAAGAATTCTGGCTTCAAGCACGAAAATCCTCCACAGTGCCCTGTCTGCTTGTTCAATTAGTTGTCTAAGGGAGCGGTCGTTGGTGACCCTGGCGTGGGGGCCGAGGAGGGTTTGCGACTTTGTGCAACTCTGTGCAACTTTGCAATTCCAAAAGCTGCGCTCTTCATGCTTTTCCCCGGCTGCCACGCAGGAGTAGCGTATGCCACGCCAGGGTCATGCAGCGGCGCACCTCCACGTGCAGGGAACAAGGAGGGAGTTGCAGCATGATTCAGCTTCTGCAGAAACCCAAATCGCTCATGCGCGATGACTTTTGCGAGCTTGCTCATCTTTCATGGGGTTTGGGAGAGTTTCCTGAAGTAGGAAGACACAAGCTTTGGTTTGGATGGGGCGCTGATGCTCATGATGGGGGAGCCATGTTGGCCAAGGTCTCGAATCCGAAGCCGTGTTACACCTTAAAACACGGAAACCCTGTAGCAGGCCGTACCCATAAAATCATCCCAAACTCACAAAATTTCCAAAGCCGTGCCAAAATTCGCCGAAGTCAGAGTTCCCAGTGCCCCAGTGGTCCCCCGATGGTTTCTCGATGGTCCCCCCGGGGGCCCTTGAAGCCATCGGCACGCTGGGCTTCCGCAGCGACCAGCCCTGAGTGCCCCCCCAAAAGCTTTAAAGATCTTCTAAGCGAGCTTGGGAGTGAGCAGCGGTGGTTTTGGAGAGGTTGGAGCGCCTTCCTAGAAGTTGGCAGGGTGAGATTCGCGCTAGATGGCAGTCGGACAAGGATGTGATGAGCCCAACAAGTTCCTGCTTTTCCAGGGGTTTCCCCCAAAACCTGACACGTGAAGATGAAGGCAAAAAAATCCTGCTGGGCGGGACGCTCATGGCGAGTTTTCGGGAAGAGCTGAAGCTGAGGACAGGTGTCTTCGAGTGAACTCAGGGAGGGGGGATGTGAGGGCAAGATGGAGCCAATGTCGCTGGGCAGTGCTTCGGGCAATGTTTTTCCGAAGTCGTTCTCACGGTTGTGCCGGCCACTACTTAAGGGCAGAGGAGGCGCAGTTGAAACCTCATCAAACTCCGAAATGCTGCGCTGTAGGAATCTGAAGAACCTTGGCAATTCAATCGATTTCCGACATTGGTCCTGCCCCTGTGTGGCCGAGCGGCGCTCAGCAACGGTACGAGCAGCACCTCCACACAATTGGCACTCTTGTTGTGGTTAACGAGAAAAGGTGTCACCCCTCCTTCCCTTTAATCAACAGCACAGGGCCAAAATAGTACCGAAATGTTCAGTTGGCACACGGTGGTCGCTGCAATATGAGCCCATCCAGGCAGGGAACTCAAACGGTACCAACCCAGGCTGACCTGAAGCAAACTGGATCCTGACGCAAAGGATCAAGGAGGGTGCAGTCAGGTAGCATCAGGGACACATGGATGCGCCGGGTTTCGAGAAATCTTGGCTAGCGGCTAGCGACTAGATACATTCCAGCTATATGTGACAAGCACCAACGTGCAAAACGGCGGGGCCAATTGTGCCACAGCGTCCCCGAGGGCACCATGAACTCGCTTCAGCGGTTAGCACATTGCTTCACCCAAAACCACCTGAGCAAAAGAAGCCGCTTCAAGAGCTTTACGAACCGCGAGCCGCAGCGCCCGAACCGTTCCCTTGTGAACCGAGCTGTCGGTTCTCAATCCGAAGTTGAACCGAGCCGATGCACTGCCTAGCTCCTCGTACCTCATCCCTGATCAAGAGTCAAGAGATGTCAAGAGTGCAGGAATATGCAAAGGTCATCCGGGAGCACCAACACCACTTTGTGCCCCTTGAAATCCAGCAGGCATTTGGCAGGCATCCTGTGCGCATGGGCATCTGCGGGCATCAGAACCGCATCGTAATCACACGCATCCGGCGCCTGCAATGGCGACTTCTGCTGCCTCATTCCAGCGAAGGCTTAGGACTTGGGAAGGCTTCGGAAGACTTGAACACTTTAGGCTTGATTGTTGGGCCTTCAAAGTTTTGCCGTTGGGCTCCTTGGCTGAACATGAGGTTAAGATAGGTTAAGGGGTGATCAGGGCTGTTCCCAGCATCCCTGGCAGGAGCTTCAGGCTGCAAGAGGGCGTAGGGCTTGACAGGGCTTCTAATGCTTAGGGTTTTTGTGAGCTTTGCCATGCCGACCTTCCGATTTGCTCTCTGCCTCTGCCTTCTCTTTCTAGTAGGGCTCCTGAAAATTCTGAAAACCGGGGAAATGACTGCGGGAAAACCCAGAAGCGAAGAAGGCAGACGGGCAAAGGTAAGTCCATGCGGATGCTTGCGGAATGAGCGTGGCTCTGTGCACAGGGGAGCTTTTGCTTCCTTCGTGCAAAGAAGGCAGCAAAACACCCCCCCGCCCCCCACCCAAAGAAGAAAGAAACATCGACAGGCACCACTTGCCCTTCCCCGCCCGCCGCCCGGCAGAGCAAATGGCCTCGAAGGCCCAGTCATGACAAAACCTTGAAAGGCCTTGAAAAGCCGCACAAGTCTCACGAAAGCGCGCGCCAAGCATGCGACATGCTCGGTACTCAAGTTCGGGAGATGTTGGAAGTTTCTTTTTGGTGAAGCCTAGGACCTAGGACAGGCGCCTCAACGGCTTTTGTAGCGAAGCGCTCCTCTGCAATGGCCAGCTGCCTGGCGGAACTTAAATGCTTTTCATATGCTTTTCAGGAAGCTTTTCAGGAACCTCACAGGATGCTGAAACATGAAACGTCACGCTAAACCCTGAACCTCTCCTGCCTCGATGCTGAGGCTTCCAGGAGCCTTTGCGACCGCGCCAGCTCTGAGGAGGAGGCCTAGGAGGGCTGAGGGCTTCCAGCTTCCAGGCAAAAAAAAAGGGCTTCCAGCCGCCCACCACTGAACAACTCATCCAACATCAACTGAATGAGTTTTGGAACCACTGACGCCACTGGCAGTCACTCCCTTGTGGCACCCTCTAGTGGCTCCCTTGGGCGACACCAGGGGCCCGAGCAAAGTGCTGGCGGCGCAGTTCCATCAACGCCTCCTGCAGTGGAAGACGGGTCCACATCAGGGGTGTATTGCCGTATGGTGATACTCCACATCTCCAAGCAAGCTGCTCGTCATGAGGCCCTCGAGGCTCAGTGTTCGGGTTGGGGGGGCTGGTACATGTCTACGTACTGCTCTGCAATTCAACAGCTGAGCCCTGATGATTAGATCCACCCCATTGAGGAAGAATGTGTCCTTGCAGAACAGCGCAGACAGATCTGATAGTTCTACGCGCAGTGAGGGTGCGAAGCGCAAGAAGCCACAGGTTTTGAGCTGGCTGCTAGCTTGAGTCTTCGCCGAGTCTTGTTGCTCGCGGAGTGACAGGCGTGGCAAAACGATGCATCACGGCATTTTGCCGATTCTTGCAGTGCGCCAGGGAGGGAAGATGTGGCAACAAAGCCTCTCCTCTCAAGCTCATGCGGTACCTATGGCTTGAACTACATTGCACGACCTTACAGTCCTAACGCCACAGTGCTCCCGGAAAGACTTCGGGAGTTGAAGGGCGCTGGCCCAAGCCACAAAAGAACTCGACAGCAGGTTCCTCGTCACGCTTACAGAAAGCAAAGGCCAAGTTGGGCCGAGACCAGCGCCCTGCTGAGCACCTAGAGCTCAAACGCTGAGGAGTTCGCCGGGGGCCCCTTCACAGCCGGGCTGTGGTAGGAAAGCTGCGCATCGCTTGCTTGACAGCCAGGTCTGCCATAATCTCTTCACTCCTTCAAGGCTTCACGAGGGTGATTCGGGACGCGAGATCTAAGAGCACGGTTGCCTTCGCAGGTGGACTTTTTTAATGCATCCCAGACTCCCCCCATAGACTGCGGCATACTTGGCAAAGTTCTTGAGGCCCTCGATCTTCGAGCCCATGCCCGTGTGAGTGACGCCTCTGCCTCTGCAGTTCCGACTGGCTCACGGAGTCATGGCTGCTGAACAGGATTAACAACCAGTGAGCTTTGCCAAGAAAATCTTCCAAAACCACCCCAGCTACCTCCAAGAATCTGCACTGTATCATCCGCGATCTTCCACGCAGTTCGTGTGCATTGGTACTTGAACCTGGGTACATTGACAAGCCGTCGAAACGAAGGATCAGGAATCGTGGGGAAAGGTTTGCGCGGGCCAGAACTCAGGACGATTTAGGGATTTCCCAGCAGGATATTCAACATTTTCCCTTGTATCTGCCCGGGTGCATGGCAATCGGCCCTGCCAGTCGGTCCCCAACTGGGCCATTTTTCGACTTGCCCATGTCATAAGTCAAAACTTCGCTGTAGCTCTGCATGCTCTCCTTGGTTGAGGATCGAACCACAACGAAGGCACCCACCCACCCACCCACCCACCCACCCACCCACCCACCCACCCACATATCCACGCACACCCCCACACCCCCCACCCCCACACCCACCCACACACTCCCCGCCCACCCACCCACCCACCCACACACACATGTAGTGGAAGATGTTGATTCGTTGTCCACACCAATGTTCAGCTCAAAAGGATAGGTGAAGGAGAGGCGCACATGTAAAGAGGAAACGCATAGCGACGAGGTGGAAGGAGATGATTGATGTTTTATGTAAAGGCTTTATATGAAGGCTGACGACGGCTTCCGACGTTATACACGGAAATACATGTGTTGGAAACGTTGCCCACCAAATCTGTTTTGCATGAATGCTCTGCAGAGTGCTGCGAATGTTGCACAGGAACCCTCCGACATATGTCGACCTGATATGCTGAGAACGTGTCATAACTCCATGATCATGCTGCACATGGACCGCAGCATGCAACACGATACTGATGCTGGTTCACGATGCTGCTTCCTGGGGACTGATACACATGTTGACACCATGCTCATGAAGCACACGTTGATGGGACTCATACAGTGACGCACAGACTGAATGTTTCATATTGGATGTTCCAGAAAGCACCACATGCCGCACAGGCAACTTCATCTGGAATGCATATCACATGCTGCAGAGGCAACTGCTTGAAACCGGAATGTCAAGACCAAATGCAACAATGTTCCATCACATCTGCGACCTGCTGCCCCAGTGCTGCATATCACCATATCAAAAGCTGCGACTCCGCGCGGCAAAAACAACATCCAAAGCATGCTTGTTGAAAACCATGCTCTCCAAAATTTCTTCCATTTGTATGAAGGTACTAAGGTACCAATGCACGGCGAGGACTGTACACTGTACATGATGAACGTGTCACTGCGGGTACACGATACACGGTTGCACGTCTCGTCCTACCCCCTGCTTCTTTTGTTCCCAAGCTTCCTGACATGACTGTTCTTGTTGTACCGCGCGCATGTCGGCGGCTCGCCACACCCATACACCCAAACCCAAGCACCCACACGCACCCACACACACCCACACGCACCCCCACACACCCACACGCACCCACACGCACCCACACGCACCCACACGCACCCACACGCACCCACACGCACCCACAGGCACCCACAGGCACCCACAGGCACCCACAGGCACCCACAGGCACCCACACGCACCCACACGCACCCACACGCACCGCCCTGTGAATATGTGATGCCATGTGTCCAAAGCCGCAATGGAAGATGCCAGTTTGTTGCGAATCACCTGACGATTTGCGAGAACAAAACCAGCACAAAGCTTGTCATGCAGAGGCGTCCAGGGGAGTGGGTAATTGCGTTGTTGCTGAGGCTCGGGTTGGGCGTCCTGTGCTTTGGCATGCTATTTCCAGTTCAAGCTGTTTCTTCATTCCTGCTTGCCGGATCACCGGTTGCTCGATGAGAGGCTTGCCGAAGACTTTTCTCTGGCGAGCCCACATAAAGGCATCCGTCAAAGCTGCACGCATCTGGCCCAGCAGCACCTGCGGCAAATGACTCAGGCAGGGACTTAGAGACTTAGAGGCCTATTGAGGCCCCCCACAGGTTTTGAGCACCCGCCTGGCAGATGAACCAGCGCTCATGGTTGAAGTTGTACATGATCAGCTTGAAACCTTCATTCTCCTTGCCCAGCAAGTTGCTGACAGGCACGCGCACATCTTCCAGCACCACCAGGGCAGTACCGGCACAGGTCGAGTAAGTGGTCTTCATCTGACTGGTGGAGACCCCATCGCCGCGCTCAATGAGCAGCAGCGAAATGCCTCGGGGAGGCACTGCCAAACGAACCTCAAACTGGTACAAGCGAACACCCTGAAGTGTCCCAAAGCCCTGCAAAGCGACTAGCCCTTTCCAGCTTTTGGAATGGAATGCCCTGGGCTTCGGGAAGCTGGGAAGCACTCTGAAATCAACTCAATGGTCAACCTGTCAACCTGTCCGGCCTTTGTTCCCAGGTCCACCGGTGCGAACCGCCGTCACAAAGTAGTCTGAGTAGGCTCCTGCAATGGATGCTCCTTTGGACCCGAACCCAGTGGGAGCTACTGGGATTTCAGGTGCCTCGATGGGCCATGCGCCTGTGTTGTTGGAGAAAACTACTGCAGGCCATGTTGTAAATCCGCTTGAGGATGGTACACACCCTTGTTGTCCGGTGGACCTCTTCGCACGGTCCATTGCGAGTGCCGCGTATGCAAGGGTGAACTAGAACAACGACCGCATAAACGCGTCCCGTCAAAAACAGCCTAGGCAGGTCAACGGATAGCGAAAGGCTCTGGGAGGGGAGGTTAAAACAAAACAGCCTGTTGTCTTAACACTACGTCTTCTGTACTCTTTGAGATGGCCTTTTTTGTACATCACAGGAGTCTCGATGGGAATCCCATCATTTCGCAAGAGGGCGCTGACGAGCACTGCAAGCTCAGCACACAGGGTTGACAAAGGGTGCTTTAGGACGAGTTCTCGATAATTCTCGACATCTTTCGACATCCGCCTCTTCCAGTGTGGGACTCTGCCAATGGCTTGACTCAGGAAGGGAACATGCTCTCCTTCGGTAATCCACTTCTTCACTCCGTTCACCTCAGGCGACCAGAAAGCATGTAGACGCTCGTAATCGCAGCATGATGTGCAAGGGTGGAGAGCGGCATATGTGCTTTTGTGCAACCTTGAACTAAACTCCCCAAACTTTGCCCTTGAACCCTGTTTGCCTTAGGGTCACGATGTAGTGCGTGCCATCATCGGACTTTTTGGCCGTGGCTTTGATCTGCGCCACATCGCTGCCAGCAAAGGGCTCGCTGATGGCCAAACAGCTCCTGGCTCTCAGTGAGTCTTAGGTTCAAAGGAGTAATTGGATAAGTTCAGGCGGATTTGGGGGACTTTTGGCTTCTAAGCATTCTAGGCACACGTACCCTGACTTTGGATGTGCTTGGGGTCCCATGGCAGCGTGCTCCGGTACGTCTCAACTATCATGCGTTGGATTCTACCGTGGGCAGGCAAGATTCCACTTCTCGCCCCGGAGAAGCGACGGGAAGATGGTCTTCCTCATCTCTTCCGTTCCGAAGTGATGGATCCTTGGAGGATGGAGGGGTTTGAATGACATGTCAGCTGGAGGTTTACTATGGGTCTTCCTTGAACGTGCGCCTGCGCATTCTGCCTTACTGGTACTTTGTTGGCTTATTGTTATCTGACCCAAGGCTGTCAGCGAAGCCTGTCGGGTTCAAGTTTGCAATCGGGTAGGTGGATTCAGCCGGGATTCGTTGCTATCCCTCTTTAGCGCCCGACTGACTTTGAAGCGACGGTAGGGGTATGAGAGGCCGCCGGAGCCCCATAATCTCGAGACATCGATGCGCATTCCGATCACAGTTCTGGGGAACCTGCTAAGAAAGATGATGCTCAAGTTGTGTCGTCAACTGCTTAGTCGGGACTCAGCATCAAAAGAGACAGAGAGTGAAGCCTTCAACGCCTCTCAACCACTGATTCAGCGCTCAAGGTGCGCAGGAGCGGAGATCAGATATCCAGCTCCCAGGGAGTCCACGAAACCCGGTAGGCCGACCCGCGCAATCTCGGCTTGAAGAGGTCAGGTGACCAGGGCTTCTGGGTTCTCTTTTTGGATCCTGTTTACCCGTTCCCCCCGCCCTTCCCTTTCGAAATCCACGAATGGCACCTCCTGGTGGGCGATGGCTTCCTCGGCACGATGCTTTTTTGGGGGGGGGGACCATGGCACATGGGCATCTCGGCATGCTGCGCATGCTTCGCTAGCGACTTAAGCATCCGGGAATTGCTTTGAGAGATTTCGGGATTTCATGGAGGTTCATGTTCATAGTCGGCTTGTGGTTGGACTTGCAGAGTTTACAGTGTTTGCAGATTTTACAGGTTTACTACTTGCAAACACAGTTCCAAGTGTACCTTGAGGGAGAAGGGGGACGGGTGCTTTAGAAAGTTACTGAAGGAAAAAGCCATCTTGTAAGTCGGGGAGTTTTCCCAGGCATTGCCATTGCCGGCTTTTGCTGCCGGGCGTCATGAAAGTAATCCACGTCCTGCCAAGGCTTGAGCTTTATTGACCTGCTGGGGTTTCGGCGATCTGGCTCAGCCCTGAAAGCCTCAACGGATAGTTGGGCCTTGTTCCGTGTACGTCCCTAGACCCCGACTAAAAACTCAGTAGCAGGACAAGAGCTTCCAAAACCTGACTTCTAACCCGACTTGTGATCTCCCCTTGCAGATAGTTTACATGCCTTCGATGTGTGTGTTTTCCTCCATTTGAGGCTGTAAGAGGCTGTAAGAGGCTGTAAGAGGCTGCGAGGTGGGCCGAAGGTAGGCCTTGGCGTTGATGTTCCCCGGCATGTTGAGGCCCAACTTCTCGACCTCAGGGCAGTCTCAAATCCGCCCCGGATCCCGGTTTAAAGTGGGCTTTTCGGTGAGCTTCGCGGAGCAACAGGCCAGCGCGCAACACGACACTGCGTGCAGAACTAACGGCTCTCCATAAGGCCCTAAAAGAGCTAAACCTAGTCCCGAACCACCGATTAATACTCTCCTACAAAGCTTCCCTAAACATTAAAGACTAGCCCTATTCCACAAACTCTATTCCTAAACATGTGGGGCGAAATCTGATTCCCAAACATTACAGAACGCCCACGACTGTCCCTACTGAGGAAAGGTCTCAGCTCTATTCGAAAAATGAATCCACAACAAGAGCCCAACATCCAAGACTACCCGAATCAACTCGGGACCGAAATTTCACAGATGTCTCAGCCCGCCCTTCTTCGTTTTTTATTCAGATCTATTCAGATCTTGAAGAAGGCTGGAATCCAAGACTTCATCAACCGAAGGCACTCGGCCCGGGCATCTTGAGTCTTGGGTCCGCCCCGCCCGTTTGCCCTATAACCCTGCGTGCTTTTGACGCTCAGGTCCAGGTGCATCCGACGCTCTTTGTGCTGCAGGTCGAGGTTCCGCGAAGAACAGACAAACCCGCTCACGTACTGCTGCAACAGCACCATTCGGGTTTAGCTTTAGCACCGACCCTACAGGTTTAGCTTTAGCACACTTCAGGTTTAGCTTTAGCACACTTCGGGTTTAGCTTCTGGGAATGTATGATGTATCCGCAACCGCGGCCAAGAACCGATCCCCCTGCCATCCTAAGCCCAGTGCCTCGCTCGACCAGGGACCTGGTCCAAGACGGCTGACCATCACGCCGCTTTGCCCCAGCTTCCTCCGTGGGATATCAGACTTTGGTTGTTTTGCATGGTTTAGATTCTAGATGTGGTTTGGAGCCGACTGTGCTGCAGATTTAGATATTGGGCGGTTAGCAGAGCCGAATGCTTGCTACGGGTTCGGCGCAGCTGGGGCACACCTCAAAGACCACCACTTCAAGCCCAACACCCCGAACAAAGCTAACGCCCAAAGCCTGAATCTGGCCCGGACCTTATCCCCCCCAATCCCACTTTGCAACATGAAACAACACGAAAAACAAGAGCATCATACTCGGACCCCTTCAGGATGCACCGCTATAAGGGGTTCCCTCAACAAAAAATCCCAGGCTACACACACTCTTCGGGGTCCAGATAGAGTCCCCATGAGAAACACCGCATCATGCCCTAAGGCCGAAGCCCGAATTTGGCCCAACCCCTTCCCTGCCTCTGAAGCTCCCGAGAAGGATACTCGCCTGTGCTCAACTGGTCCAACACAGATCGGCATCTCTCAAAGCTTCAGCACAGCCGGCTTCGTCTCCCTCAGCACCTTTCAGATCGCAGGCAGCTGCACCGGGCATCAGCTCCGACGCGACGAAGCTTTGCATGCCCTGGGGGGCGGATGTGATTCGAGTTCTCGCGACTCAGCTGTCATATCGCCGACAAACAAACTGCGCGCAGATGCCTCGAAGGTATGGGGCGGTCAAGTCCGATGGCGAGCGGGCGGGGGGGGGGGGGGCAGGACCCTTTTACGGCCATTTCCGCCGAAGACCGAGCGATACTGCGAATACTTCGACCAACGCTTCTTCTTCTCAAACATACGAGAGCTATCTTAGCTCTTAAAGCTTGGATCTTCCCTTGCTTCCTCTTTTCTCAGTCTCACCTCCATGAAGCGGCGGTGCGACTCTGTGTAGAAGGGCGACTCCTGCAAAGCACGCATGTTCGAAGATGCATGTGGGCGTGTGACGGGGGGAGCTTGCATTGCTTACAGCACAGAGGCGTGGGCCAACAACGTCCGAAGTTGTACCCTCTCAGCTTTTAGTCGGGTTCGCTTGTTGGCGTCCTGGCCCTGGAACGCCGGAATCTCAGCGAAGGGCACTCCCTTGCATCCTGTGGAGACCTGGTGATGTCCCGGTTATGCTCTGCACACATGAGAAGCTCAACATTGAAGCTCCCCAAACAGTGTTTGCACTTGGGGTTCTCAAGTTGGTAGTATTTAGAGGGATAGAGATCGTGACCTCCCGGCCTGCAGCGGGGCCTCGCAATCGATGACACTCTCGGTGTTTTTTGTGGGCCCGGACGCTCTCGCAGGCACCATGCGCAATTCACATCGCGAAAGATGACCCTCGTAATATTTCCGCGTGCCCGCTCTGGCCTAGACGCCCTGCACATTTCAGGCCCCACAACGCAAGGACTCCCAAGGCAATCTTCGCCGTTCCGTGTCGTGAACGTTGGCGAGGGCAAAAATGCCCATCCGACAGGTGCGACATGTCTGGACGCTGAGTCATCGCAACCCGAAATCCGGTTTTGCTCTCGGGGTGCGCTTTGAATGAAAGCTGTTTGGGTCTATGCCGGCATGTCGAAGCGGGGTGCTGTGCTTTGAATGAGCATCACTCACATGTGCAGGGCATTTCCGCTGTCCATAACAGAGCTGTTGGACTTTGCCGCACCTGCTTGTGCTCACCCTGCAGGCGTCCTACCTGGGCGCGAACGCAGCACCGCAAGGGCACAGCGGGATTTGTGTAAAACAGGTTTGCCGCCCTGGCCTGTCCGGAAGCTCTGCGGATAGGGCTCACCATGGCTCACCCCAACACATCAGCTTATCAGCTTGTCCTAGCCATCCGTTCGTGAGCCTTCCCTTTGGGCCTCAAAGAGGGTTCACGGGTGGAGGACTTTAGGCGTCGCTTGAGAGTCCCACCTTGAGGCGGTCGTACTTGACGAGCACGTCATGGCGGTGGAGCTCGTAGAACTCCTCTGTGACGTCCCGCCCGGCAATCTCCTGAAGCGACAAAGGACTATGAGGCTACAAGGACGTGCAGTCTCTGACGCCCCGAAGTCCGGAAAATGTAAAACCCCTAAGCTTTGCTCAGAGAAGTGATGGGTTAAGAGAGCAAAGTGAGTAAAGTACTCGGAAGTTGAACTGACGGCTGCCCTTTCTTGACTGAGGGCAGTTTAGGCAGTTTAGGGTTCTTAGGATGCTTAAAGGTCGGGGAGGCCGCCGCCCTGGACTCAGAAGAGTCCTCGAGGACCTTTGCACCACCGGGGTGGAGCTGCGCAAACTTCGAGACCTCAAAAGCACTCGAACAGCCAGCTCGGACCCGGTGACCCGTCAGGAGCCCGGAGTGCACTTTCGGTTTGTTCAAGACTCAGCAACACCCCCAGCAGAGGACTCAGTGGACCCCCAAGTCGCCCCCGAACTTCATCCCTGAGACGGGCTACGCGGGAACCTTCGGCTGCGCTCCCAATGAGGAGCCCTTTGGACTTGAAGTGGAAGTACTGTACTGGAAAATACTAGAAACAGGAATTGCAACTACACCGCAATTGACATGGCTTGGCTAGGCTGGACACGACACCGACAGAACAGAAGCCTAACACTCAAAGATGCTCAAAAGTATCAGGAGCATCAAGATCGAAGCCAAGCAACATCGTAAACGTCTCCGTTGATCGCAAGCCACATGTCACCTCTCAGGGTTCTCTGAAAGTCTAAGAGGATCTGAAGTCTAAAGAGGCAGGTCTCTCAATTTTTTGTACAAAGCCCCACTCAGGCCGCCACCCCGCTTTTAGGCTTGCTTGACCGCATACCATTTGTCTTTTGTCTGGCAAGCAACGATTCAGCGCTCTCGGCTTTCCTTCCGTCGTTGTCGTCACTCATGTTGTGCAACGCTGCTTTGCTTCTTCGCGATTGTGCGATCTTGCTCCTCTTGAGGCGACCGGCCCCAACCAGCCCTGTCTCTTCTATTCTGCTCTAAGTCTAACTTCCCGGAATCGGATCAGCCCTATCGGTTTCGCTTCGTCAGCTTTCTTGGGTCGTGCAACGTACCGCCTGAACTTCCCCCAAATCCTGCAAGAGCAATTCCTGCTGCCCAGCCGTAGGAACCGTTTCAGTCACCTAGGACTCTTGGAAAAAAAGATTCGAGAAGCCCACACCCTCACCGCCGCACCCATGAAACCCTGAAGGTTTTAAACTTTTCAAGCGCTCTCGAAGTGTCAAAAAGCGTGTCTCAGCGACTCCAGTGGGTTGCAAGACATCGGCTTGGCCTGGTTTGGCATGCTGCGCCAGCTCAGATTGCGAGATCTCTCTCGGCGCCATCGCTGCGAAACTTTGACAGAGGGAACCTGAAACTTTGTTTTCTCTTTAGCTCTCTTGAAGTCTTAAGGGCTTCACGACTTCAGGTTTGTGGGATCTTGTGGGCTTGTGATGTGGACCTGGCATTGAAGCATGGTTGACAGAGTTGAACACAAAGTCGGATGGCCCAAGCGGCCAAAAACAAGCTGCGGCGTGCTCCGTGCTGCGGCGGGGTCAGGCACGGATCGTCTAAAGCCACGGCTCCCCGTACCAGGAAAGGCTTCAGATTGTTCAGTGTCTTAAGTGGCACTCCTCAATGTGCGAGCAGGCCCTTTAAAAAAGCAACGCAAGAAGCTTACTGTGCTCGCAACCATGATCGACATCATGCGGGTATCCATTGACCAAGGGTGAACTCGAATACTTGGAGACTTGATTGGTGTCCCACATCCAAGAAGTCTCCCACTGAGCTCCTCATGCATCGTCCGCTGTGTGCCGGAGAGCGTCTGCGACGGAAGAAAAGAGCAAAGCTCCGGGTCCACAGACGTGCGATTCTGCTGGGCTCGATGAAACAAACAGTAACAAAGCATGACAACAGAAGCTGTCCAAAAGAATGATCAGAACCAAGCTTTTGGCCGCGAATGATAAGAAGGGCCACTATGCTCAGGTACCACGGGTAAGCTCCAGCGACTTCAGTGGTTGGAAAACTACCCCGCATGCCCTCGCTCCCTTTGGGCTAGGCATGCTTCTCAAGGTTCAGCAGTGCTGCAGTAAGTTAGGAATGAGAAGTCTTTCGGAGGTTTGTCCAAGACAGCAGAGCCCTGCTAAGGATTTCGCAGGCCTCGATGGTGGCGGCGACCTCTTGGAGCTCCGCCTTGAGCTTTGACAGGTCCTGGACAGGGTCTTGCGAGCCGAATGCGTTGATGTCAAGCCTTGACCGCCTGGCTGCTAGCCTAGCTGAAGTTAAGTGAAAACCCCAGCATTGTTGAGGCGCCCCGGCCCACAATTTCACCCTCAGCCTTCCGCGCATCCGCATCTCTCTCGGCCCAGGCCGATGCCGATGCTGAGGCCTGGCCACCACGTGTCTACAGCAAATCCCCTTAACGCCTTAGAGCCAGAATGAAAGTACCACTTATCGTTTGAGAGTCATGCAGAGCCACGAGAAGCCATGAGAACAAGAGGTGCATAGCATGGTTTGGATGGTTGTTCTTGTGCTGTTACAGGTCAACATGTGGTCCAATGAGGGGTCCACGTCATGTCTCGAAGGTTTTTGGTTTTGTCTTGTGGCGCTCTTCTATAGAACTTCTCTCACCAACTTCCCTCCCCAACACAAACTGGGGCCTCAGAATGAAGGAGTCGAGCGCCTTCTTGCACCTGTACGAACGAAACTCAAGCAGAAAACACAATGCCTACGTGATTACAGTCATAACACATTCTCAAGTTGGCATGTCGCATCGTGCACCACATGCGTGTAACGCCGCCAGCCATGTGCTCTCGGCATTCCGCAAGCGCCGAGCCGTGCTGGCCAAGTCAACCTACTTGACGCAAACGTTGTGCTGGCGGCGCCACGCCCAGTATGCATTGCTTTCGGCACGATTGCGCTGTGCGGGCCCAGCCATGCTGCATGCCAGAATGGCAACAATGCGGTGGCTTTGGAAGAACTCACACTAACTGAACAATGCATTGGCCACTGCATTTCACACGCGGTGCTGTCCGAACCAAGTCTCTCGTGCTGCAGGATGCTACAGGGAGGTTGCGGCTGTGTTAGCTGTCAGGGTTTGCGCACTACCCAAGGCCAGCAGTTCAGCGAGCAAACTGAAGGCTTCACTGCAAATGCGGGTAGTCATAAGAGAATGAAAAGAATCTGAGAGAAGCTTCAAAGAAACATATGGCTGCTGCAGAGAGAGATTGTTGAGATTTGACATACCGCAAGCCTTGCAAGGTTTCTCCCCTGTGCCAATTTGGAACCCCCACTTCTGACAGCACTTGGGACCCCGCTTCAGAAGGAGGAAAGGCGCTTGACTTCGACCGGGAAGTCTCGAAGGGTTCTCTCTTTGCACGCAGACGGCTCAGACGGCCGAATGCTTCATGGCACTGTCGGCCATAGTTGCATGGTTTACGATCCAACACAGACGGTCACTTTGGTACCAGTACACGTGCTCTTCCGGCACAACCTGCACGCAACGCGACAAAGCAGTTCACCATAGTTTAAATAGTTTAAGTCGTCGAAATGAAGCAAGTACCAAAGCACGCTTGCCATGCCATGCCGCTATACCGCGTGTTCGTAATGTTGACGCAGGTATCATTGCAGGCGTGCAGTGGTCAGGTTCTCGAAATCACTCGCATGTGGAGTGCAACACAGTTTCCCCTGACCTCCTGCCCCGAAATCAGACTTGATGCCAAGCACAAACCGGCGGTGCAGAGGGAATCCGGCCAGAGTTTGTCCGGAAACATGAAATGGTTCTGAGGGACCGGGTACAGTTTAGTAGGGAACAGGCAACCATGCGTACAATGCGTACCGCCTCCTCCTGCAACGTGTTGAGCACTTCCTTCACAGGCAAAGAGTCAGAGGGGCTGCACTCACAAGCCGCAGCATGCTGCACTGATAAGTCAGCTAGAGCTGGTGCGTGACCCAAATCTGTCTTGAGAATTCAAACGCACTCCTCCTTCCAAAAGCCGCCATAAGCTGAAGCGTCTATTTGCAGCTGGATATGGGACGTTTTGGGACACTAGTCCCGGAATCCCCAAACCCTAAAGGCCACAGTTCGTAAGTTCGTGCCTGCGCAATGAAACGATCGGCCGGGCCCCGTCGCCATCGCAGCCGCAGCACCTCCTGGAGAGATGAACAGGTGCCTCCTTCCCTCCTTCCCTCCTTCCCTCACCTTAAGGGTTCGCTCTTGCATCCACCTCGAGGCATGTTGGGCCTCCTGTCCCCTGGACCTGCAAGAACCAGTACGAACCCTTTGCGGCCTCCGTCTCGCACCGAGCCTCCTTCCTGCCAAGAGCACACGAAACAGAGGGCCGACCACATGACAACTGCCTTCACACTGCACCTTTTTACGGTTCCTAAAACGATTCCGTAGCCATAGCAGAGCATAGCAGAGCCCTTCTCCAAAACCCTTCAGACTCTAAGGGAGGCCAGGGGGCAGCTCCCGTTGTGCTCGCGCAAGCTCGATGCCGTGCTGGTGGCAGAGCTCCTGCGCCTCCGCATGCCTTAAGGGCTCTCCAGTCTTTAAACAAGCACGCTCCAAAAAAACAGAGGAGTGAGCGCCCATCTACTCAGAATGCTCGTATAAGCCTTTCAGACTTCTTTTGGCAGGTCTTTCGATCAGCCAGAGGTCCTGCAGCTCAGACTATTTTGGAGGTAAAATCCTGGAGGACCTGCAAACCCCAAAGCCGCACACAGAAACCCAAACGGGGGGGGGGGGGGGGAATCTTGAATCGACATGTCGTCGAAGTCTTAGCGATTCTTAGGATCCTAGAGTATACACCTCCTTTCACTGCGGGCAGCAGGCATAGCGGTGGCCTCGCTGAGGCCCTGGGCCACAACCGTCTGCATCTCCTCTCCCCAATTCTCATCTCTCGCCATTCTGCTATGCATTGCTCGCCACCGCTCGCACCAGTGCAAGACAAACATTTTGCCAGTCTAGACCCCAGACAGCGAGACATCCAAAAGTGACGACAGTTTCGCATTTCGCGAGCCCAGAAATCCAAAAGTGACAGTTTCGAGGACGGCGATCGTGGCCGCGCCTGCGACTAGGCGTGATTCTCGTCCAAAATGCAAGCAAGCCTCGGGAACAACCATGCTCCGCACAGCGCGTGCGTGCTTCACGAGCCAGCCGATCCAGCCCCTTACCCGAACTTAGCACTTTTGAAGCCCTTCGTTTGCCTTAATGTTGACCCACTGTTTGAGGAAACGCCCTCACCAGAATCCTCGGAGCGGCCAGCTTGCCGCTGGGTGCGCTCACGCCTGGGATCTTCAAGTTCTCCCCACTTTTTGCAGGGGGGGGGGGGGGGGGGGGGGGGGGCATCTCTAGCAGCCGGGCCGGAATCATTCCCTTTGCCCAAACATGGACTAAAAAAATGATAAAACTAATGCGGAGCCGCTTGGTCGCAACACAGCTTTCGTCAAACGATGCTTTGTTTATCACTTCTTCTCCGTACCCGAGAGCCTGATAACATCAGTGACTGCCGGCACCATCCGTTACATTGGCCCCCCCGAGAAAAACTCAAGTCACCCTGACTGAGGAACTTTACAACCCGCTCCCTGCGCCCTGCATCCCATAAGCAAGCCTGAACCGTCGATGGTCCAAACCCTCTACAAGCTACACAACTTTCTTCCGACTGCGCTCTCAACATCTCTCTCCGGAACAGCCCCTCAAAACCCCCCCCCC